ACCTGAAATATTTCAGTTAGTGTGCAATGAATCTAAAATATATGAATGTTAAATTTTCATCATGACATTATGGAAAATAATGAACTTTATCATAATATGCTAATATTTTGAGAAGGACCTGTACTGTAACGAACTGAAAATGGTACCCAAAATTTTAACTGGACACAACAGATGAAATTTTAAAGATTAATTGAGATCTGTAGACATAGCTCGGCAGGACGCCACCAGCGGTGAGACCACGAACCTCTGAGGGTAGACGGATAGGTTAGTGGCTGAGAACTGTAGGCAAGGTGAAGCTCAAAGAAAAAGACACTAACCTTTTCAGGAATCGTGAGAGAGTGAGGATGTGGATTTTACGGCTACTCAGGGCTGTAGGCTGGAACACGTCAGGCAGCAGGAAAACGTCACAGAGGATCTGAGAGACTGTGAATGAGACTCCTTGGAGACTCCCAAAGAAAGGCAGATACAGGCAGACAGATCCAGGGGTTAGGCAGGAGGCGGCAGTCAGGAGGCAGAAACAAGGTCGATGTCCAGAGATCAGAAGCCAGGGAGATATCCGACAAACAGACCCTAATCATAACAGTTGAACTTACAGATAATCAGAATCAGAATCAGAAAAGCTTTATTGCCAAGTACGTTTTTGGACATACAAGGAATTTGTTTTGGCGTAGTCGGTGCAATACAATACAAATTAAATACAACTCAACTAGATAAATATCTTATACCAAATAATCCAAGATGTTTTAAAAATGCCAAAATGTTTAGAATTTGAGTCAAAAAATCAAGGGTTAGTTCTTAATAGTGGGAGTATACTGGGGTCAGGTGGGTGGAAATTACAATGGTTTGTTGCGTTAAGATGGGGTATGTCACTTTTGCCATAATGCCTTAGGTTTATTTCTTTTCACACTAAAAAAATCAACTAAATGACTGGAAATTAAATGTACATGCTCTGTAAGTGCAAGTATAAGGTGTAAGGCATAAGTGAACTATAATAAGAAAAAGGATGCAGGAGAGACACTCAGGTTTTCTATCTAAAAATGAAAGAGAACCTCAGTATTGACAGTATTTCAAAGAAACATTTTTCAGTCAAAATCAGACAGATATATTAAAAAGCATTAGTCACACACAGAAACACACAAAAACTGAACAAATGAACTTTAGATAAAGAAAGAGTTACAAACTGAATTGTTCATGAAGCTAATGGAGATTTCTGCTCCCTGGAGAGTGGGACAAGTTGAATAAGCTTGATGAGCTGAAGATCGCTCTAGGATTTGCTTCCAAATTTTAAACATTCAAAACAACAACACCGCAAAAACAGACACATCAGCATTTAGTACAACTGAGTGGTTGCATTTTTCATGGAAAGAAATTATATCACCGAGTAAGTAAATTAACACAGTAAATCGAATATAAAATTTAAAAATAGAATCTGTGTGTGATTAGTGTAACGATTGAGCCTGTCATTTCAAATAAAAATGTGATATTTAAGTGAGATTACATTATTGTCTATGTTTTTGAAAACCAAATACAGTCTTTATTTGAATCATTTATATCCACGTATAGTCTCCTATTTTAATTTCCTAGCACCTACTTGTTCCAAGATTGGTTCTGTTCTACTGTAAAGCTCAGACTTCCAGCTAGACGTTGTAAGCTGAGAAAGTTTCTGAAAGCAAACTTTTTTTTTCAGAACTCTGCAGTTTATATTGCTGATGTGAGTTACTGTTAAGGTTTTTTTTTTCTTTAAACTTAAATTATACTTATATTCATGTTTCCTTTAGTGGATCACATTTCTAGCAGATGAGAACATAAATCACACTATATGTTTGTTGAGTATAACTATTTAAAGTTGCAAACAAAAAAGACAAAAACAGTAACACACACTGACATTTAGTCTGTAAGTGCATTGTGAAAGAGTTTTATCATGTTGAATCCAATTGTTTGGATTCTCGACCCAGCCAGCTCCACCACTAGATCAGATCTAAATGAGTTCTATAAGAAAGCCTTTATGAACTGATTTTAGTTTCCAGCTAGAGACCTATGGCTGCACGGTGGCGCAGTTGGTAGCACTGTTGCTTTGCAGCAAGAAGGTCCTGGGTTCAATTCCTGGAGTATGTTCTCCCTGTGCATGTATGGGTTCTACTTCCAGTAAAACACAATCAAGACAAATCACCTTGTCTTGATTGTACTGTATATTTGTGTACAGTAATTTGCGATTTGGCAACATTACATGTCCTTTAAAAACTTTCTCATGTTTTGACATGCCCAGTTGTGCTGCTTGTAGCTGCACTCAGACCAAGTTTAACCTCAAAAGTAAAACTGGAGTATTCCTGCAATCAGTGGATTATTTTCCATAGGTTACCAACAAAGAATCAAGATGAATGTGGCTAAAGAATCTAAATTTAAAGCAACCACCATACAGGTTTGCTCTTTTCCCCCATGGAGAAAAATCCTTACCCCAAGTAACATCGGCTTCTGAAAAGGATGAACATCTCTGCTGATATCAGGGCCCGTATTCAAAAAGATTCTGAGAGTCCTCTCTGAGAGCTCCTATCTTGGCCTAAATATTCCTGCCAAGAAGTCTCAGCTTAGGAGTGACTTAGCTAGCTCCTGAGAGCAACTCTTGGCGAGGAGACAACAGAAATTTCTATCATAGTGAGGTTGACCCCAATGCTAGCTGTGATGCTGTCTTCTAAGAGCTGTGATTGGTTGTTGCAGACAAAAGACAAAAAAATAAAACAAATGCCCTACTAGTAATCAATGGAGATAAATTTACCAATTATTGAATATAGACTGAATTAAGAAATATGTAAATCATTATGATAAAATTTAGGAAACAGAAATCAGTTGTCGCAGAGGATCAAAATGTTTGAACAATAATGAGTAATGGGTTAGGTCTTTTAATGAATTTTAACACTGTATTAGTGCATGACATCCTCATCTTTCCATCCCTGACCGTATTTTGAAACTTACAATAGAAAATTCCCAATTAAACTAGTCAAATACACAACTAAGGAGCTCTTTGTTATTAAGCACAGAAAACTCCCGGTTAAGCCCAAATTTGAAAATTATATATTTTTTCCTCCATTCTTAGTCATGAACTTGGCTACTTAGATAAATATTCTGGAACATGTGATTCTAGAGTCTATTTCTTCAGGTTATCCTCCCAATCTTTGCCAGATAATGGTAGCGATAAGATAATAGTACCCCTTTAAGATATACGATTTTAACTGCACTGCAAATGGAAGTTATTCAACCCATTTCAAGAAGGGCTTTTAAACATTACCTTGAAAAACAATTTTAAAGAGGGATCAATAAGTTTTTGTTCTTGTCTAAATTCAGATGTATAAAAGTGAAGCTAACTGGGGGTCCTCACAGGTTCTGTTTGGTAATTGGTTTTCATAAGCCTCCACTTTTTAGCTTCAGACAAAAGGAGTTCTGCTCTCTTCTTTCAGTGCTGGAATCGGTTATTCAGAGGTCGAAACAGAAAAACCGATGGTCCAAAGCAAGTACTGGTCCCAGTTTAGTACTGGCACTGATTTGGTGCAAAACTACACACTGTCTTTTCAGCAATTGTGGACATTTGTCTGCTCTGACTGACACATTGGCTTTAACAGACTGACATGTTTGACTTGTGCCTACTAAAATTTTCCACGAGTTAATGCTAAGACATACAACAGTGAGTATGGTCATCTTTTTCTTTTTTTACAATAGCATCTCACCAGTTACGGTAGCCCAGAGGTGTCAATACAAAAGCCAAAACACAAATACTAAAGCCACGGAAATGACATGTAGCAGAAGTAACGGTGCTGGATTTTCACAGACGGCGGCAAATCTAGCCCATTTGATAGGTAAGTGAAACATTTTCTTTATTTAACTATGATCACTTTGGCCTCAAACAGGCAGCATTTTCCTTTTCTTTCACACAAGCAAAGCTTCTTTTTCTTTTTCTGCTTTATGTTGTTTAATGGCTGTTGGCAAACAACTTAAAGGTCCTCCTCACATATAAAGCCTTTAATGATCTAGCTTCATCATACATCAGAGATCCATATATTCCTAACAGAGCACTTCATTCTCAGACTGCAGGTTTATTGGTGGTTCCTAGAGTCTCTAGAAGTACAATGGGAGGCAGATCCTTTAGTTATCAGGCTCCTCTCCTGTGGAACCAGCTCCCAGTTTTAGTCGGTGAGGTCGACACCCTGTCTAAGGCTAGGCTAGGCTAGGCTTAAAACTTTCCTGTGTGATAAAGCTTATAGTTAGAGTGGCTTAGGTTATCCTGAACTATCTCTGTACTTATGTTGCTATAGGCTTAGGCTGCTGGAGGACATAATGACCACTTTAACTCTCTTCGCTATATTCTCACACTACTCTCCAATTTTGCATTATTTGCTGTTATTTCAGCGTTTAACTTTATGTTCTCTCTGATTTCTTCCTAGAAGCTACACCTGGCCTGGCTCTGTGTCTACCTGTGATACCTTTCTGGAGCTGGGCATTGTCCAAGCTTCTGCTGACAACAACTTAATGCTCACCTTCTACCGATGATCCACTTGGCCCTGTCTTTCAGTGTTTAACCCTTTCTCTCTCCTAGACATAGCTACTGACTGAGCTTTTACTGTAAGTAATTATATGTGCTCTCTTTCAGACTCTAACCTTAAAAACTGGCTCAGAGTTTATCTGTTCTTTTTTTCTCGGTGAAACGACTAAAGGAGCTACATCCATTAACATTTTACTTTTCATTCCCATAGAAAGGACTCTTGGATCAGTGCTTCTTTGTTCCCTTTGTGTCTCTGCTCTGTTCTCTCAAACCCCCAGTCGGTCGTGGCAGATGGCCACTCACACTGAGGCTGGTTCTGCTGGAGGTTTCTTCCTGTTAAAAGGGAGTTTTCCTCTCCACTGTCGCTACATGCATGCTCAGTATGAGGGATTGCTGCAAAGTCAATGCCAGTGACTGTCCACTGTCTCTACATGCTCATTCAGAAGGAGTGAATGCTACAAATCTCTGATTCGATGCAATCTGCTGAGTTTCCTTACATAGAAAAACTTTTTATCCAATTTGAATAAATAACTGAATCTGACTACACTGTTCAAGGATTAATTGGAACTGATTAGGATTAATTGGAATGTATGTACCTGACTTTGTGAAGTACCTTGATATGACGTGTTGTGAATTGGCGCAATATAAATAAACTGAATTGAATTGAAATACCACCACCTGCTGGAAAGGAGTGTAAGCTTCTCCCAACGTCTGTGAAACCCCGGCATCTTTACTTCCGCTACACGTCATTTCCGTTGTGCCTTTTGTATTTGAGTTGCGGCTTTTGTATTTGACCTGACACCGCTGGGCCACCATACACCAGTAGACTCTAAGATAAACAAAAACACATGGGCAGAAAGACACAACAATGATTATGTAACATTTTGAATTTGTGGAGGACCAAAGCCGCAACAGGACATCCACAGGTGTGCAGAGTGGATGTAAACATTTTAATAAAAATTCACATGACACTGAAGGGAGCACAGGAATCAGGGGATGACAATAGGCGAATCAACAAAGAGGGAACAGAAAACACTAACTTAAATACAACACAGATGAACAGAAATCAGGTGTATGTAATTAACAGAAACACAAACAGGTGTGAATCATGACATTCATGATTATTGTAGCTATCAGGAAAAAAAGGAAAAAAAAAACTGATTGCTCACTCTCAACCCCACTGGATAGTCTGAAGTCCAGTAAACAAATAAAAAAAATAAAATAAAACAATCTGAACTTATTCTTGACTGTTATGTACTGTAGAAATAGCAAATATACAATAACAATTTTAGGTGAATACTTTACAGTAAATTCAATATAACAATAACTTTAATATGTTATGCATTGGTTTGAATGCAAAAGGGTTTTTGATGCTTTTTGCCAGCTGACAAGCTATGCCCAATTTGTCAGGCCACACGGGAGACAGCCTAACCAACACAAATTCCAGCACATCCTACTTATAATTAGCACCAGGAGTCTGACATGCCCATTTTTCTCCCAGCTGGCTGCTCATATTTGTGGCAAATTCAATATGACATGAATGCGGTATTAACATCGGTGGGGAGATGTCAGCAAAGAGTGCCTTGGCAGATTCCTCCAACTCTATACAGTTCAGCTCTGAATGATGGTTTTGACTTAAATATGCCTCAGAATTCCTTAGCACTGACATACCTATAAGTCAATAATTTGAACCACGTCTTTAATTATTATGTTTTTGCATAAAATACACAGAAACTTGAGAAAACCTTTTTGGTATAGATCCAGCTCCACAGGTGAATCTGAAGGTATTATATCATCAAAAAGTAAAAAGAAATATTTCAGGAATTCAGTTAGAATTGTAGTACTCACATAATATATAGATTCTTTACACTCAAGAATGTTTTCTGTTAATTTTTTTCAGCTAACAAAAAGAACATTCAGTTTCTCAAAAAATTATAATTTTACATAAGACAAACAATAAAATAGAATTTAAAAATTTTGGCTGGCTGAGAAGTGTGTCCATGTACTGTAAGAACTCAACACCTGGACCGGGGGTTCTTTTGTATGAATTATTGGATCAGTGCTTTGTGGCATGGAGGCAATCAGCCTGTGGCTCTGCTGATGTATTTAGGAAGCCCAATGAGCTTTAATGTTGGCCTCCAGCTCTTCTGTTTAATGGCCAAAAAAAAATAGTGATACCATGGTCCTTAGACCAGGTATATTTCTGTCAAAGTGCTCATGTGCAAGGTCATTCTGAAATCAGCATCTCAAGCTTGTTAGCAGAGCAAACATGAAGTGCTCTAACATTTCATTTTCAGATGGCTTCACTGACTTAAGTTTGAGAAAACACAGTGGACCAACAGCAGCACATGCCATTGCTCAAGCCATCACTGACTGATGAAGCATCACGCTGAACGTCAAGCAACTTAGATTCTGTGCCTTTCCACTCTCCCTCCAGACTCTAGAACCCTGATTTCCAAATTAAATGCAAAATGCAGTCCTCTTTCAGGTTAGCTCAGGTAAGATGCTTCTGATGTCATCTCTGTTTCAAGAGTGGACTTACACTAGGAATGCAACAGTTGTAGTCCATTTCATGATTCATTTGTAAATAGTAGC